GACCCCACCTTGATGTTTCGGGACCCCACTTTGGGTCCCGACCCCAACTTTGGGAAACACTGCTCTAGAAGACGTCTTGATTGTTTGAACTGTTGGTCTTGACGTCCAAAGTTGTGAATTTCTTAGGCTTTATTATCATTGCTCTAAGTATTTAATCTAATAAGTGTAGTCAAACAAATTATTTTCATGCTGGCAAATAGAAAACACCAGCTGCAGTTTATCGTGTACATTGTGCTAAATGTATAATTTTGAAAAATTCCACAATCAAATCAAAATTCTTGTTTTAGAACATTTTTAAAGTTGCTGTATGATTGTTCCACTTTGATAGAACAGTTGAAATAAATCATTAAAAGAAATGATGACATATGACAACTGTATCAAAGAGTGCTTTAGGTTCAATACACACTTGTATCGAACAATACAGATTTTTAAAATTAATTTTATCAACTTGTCTTCTGAAGATACTCTGTGTTGAAGGATCAGTGGATCTGTGTTCGACTACTCCACCTAGACTGCATTTTTGAGCGCAGATCCACTGAGAAACTTGCTGTTTCAGCAACATTTAATTTAAAAACTGTACATTTGAGGTTAAACAAATGTTCAAATTTATATATATTTCAGATCCTCGTTTCTTTTTTCTTCTTTTTGCTGGGTTGCGACTAATACAGAATATTTTAAATTATTTCTTTCTCCTGCAGGGCAGCTCGTTGTTGGGATCTCCATTTCTGAAGGGCTTCCTGGCCGGCTATGTGGTGGCCAGGCTGCGCTCCTCGGCCTTCCTGGGAGTACTGCTGGGAACAGCCACTGGCATTTACGCAGCACAGAACTACCAGGTGCCGYACGTTGAGAGGACCGTTAAAGAGTACATGAACGGACTGAAAAAAGGACCAAAGTAATTTTGGGCCGACGTCTAGTCTTTCCGAAGATGCAACGAGCACAAGAGGAAGAACGGCTCAGGTTTCTGTGTGAACTGGATGCACGCTTTTAATGGGAATTTCTCTGGGAGAAAGACTTCTTTCATGTTTTTACCTTTTTTTTTTTATTGTTTTGGTTTTTCGGGTTTATTTTAAGACATCAACAAGTCATGCCAAACATTGTGCCTTTTAAGGTTTTAGGGTTTATTTGGTTAGATTTTGTAATCAGTTTTGTTGCCTGGAGCAACTTTTTACAGCCTTTGGTTCGTTGCTAAGAACAAGAAAAAGTATGCAGTGTTTCATGCTTGAATTCTCCACGCCTTTATTATTCAGTTTGAAATACAGAAGTAACTATTTTGTTTTTATTATTTCAATTTGAAAAGGGAGGAATTTTTTTTTTTTGCACTAAAGGTGAAACGTGTGTTTTGCTAGAAACCCAGTGAGCATCTTTGATGATGATTGTGATTGAGAATGTGAGGCCCCGTTCCCCGGGGAGGATTAAGAGCCAGTGGGTGAGCAGGATTAAATGGGGCGTCCTCCTGGGCCTGATGGTCCTCYTCTACGGTTCTCATGCTCCACTCATCGCTCTCACCAAGGTGGACGGTCGAGTCCCGTTCAGCGCCGCCTCGTGCGTTCTGCTGATCGAGTTGGGTAAACTCCTCGTCTCTCTGCTGAGTCTCATCCTCACCGGAGGCACGTCGTCCCTGGGMGTCCCTCCAGACCCGCTCCTCATGGCCCCTTACGCGGTCCCAGCTGTTCTCTACACCCTCAACAACAACCTGGTGGTTCTCATGCAGGCCTACATGGACCCGAGCTCCTACCAAATGCTSTCGAATCTTAAAATTGCCTCGACTGCCTTGCTGTACTCCGTCTGTTTGGGAAAAAGTCTGCGMCTGGCTCAGTGGTTTGCTCTGGGGCTCCTCACGGCTGCGGGGGTCTGCCACAGCTACAGCAGCCTGGATGCAGAGGACGCCGCTCGGGCCGAAGTCGATAAAGGTCCCAGGCTTCACGTCACAGCTTGGGGGCTTTTTCTGGTGCTGGTGTACTGCTTTGTGTCAGGGCTGTCAGCGGTMTACACAGAGAGGGTCCTAAAGAGCCAAAAGTTGCCCCTCAGCCTGCAGAATCTCTACCTCTACTTGTTCGGCGTGGCCATCAACGGGTTGTCCTCGTTCTCCTCCACAGCGGGCGACAGAAGCCTTCTGGAGGGCTACTCGGGGGTGGTTTGGGTCATCATAGCGGGACAGGTGGTGAACGGACTCCTGATGTCGGTGGTCRTAAAGCATGGCAGCGGGATCACCAGACTGTTTGTCATTTCAGCCTCCATGCTGGTCAACGCTCTGCTGTCCTGGCTCGTCCTGGGTTTGCAGCTCACGCCGTTTTTCCCCATTCCCTGTGCAATGATCGGACTGGCAGCTTACCTTTATTACAGGTAGCAGAGCGTCCAGCAAAACTACAACACATGTACCCACCAGAGCTCTTRACCTAATCTCTTCAGTTAGAATTTAACTTGTTTAATTTTGTCATAACATTGGCGGTATTAGTTGAACAATATGAAGTGTTTATTTTGTCATGCACACTGTTACAGGTACTTTCTACCATTTTCCYTCACCTCTGCAAACACCTATCAGAGAGAGAGGATTATATTTGTGCTAACAACCAATAAATTATCAGAACTGTTGCAGATTCTTTCTGTCATTCTTGTTGGGGTATCAGATCAGCGATAGAATCACCTCGTGCCGTAAGAGCATCCTTCATTCCTCCAAGTGCTGAAAACAAAAATTAAATAAAAAGGAAGGGAGGGTTTAAGTTTGTTGAGTTCCCTGCAGTAATTTAACCGCCTGCTGATAAACTGACCTTTACGCAGGCGTTTGTTGTCYGCCTGCAGCTGCTGGTTCTGAGCTGATAAGTAGACGGCGTCCTGKACAGCGTCCAGGAGCACGCTTCTGTACCGGCCCTCTGAAACCTTCCTCTGCTCCTCGCTGACCTGACGGAACACTTGGAACACCTTCAGACACCAAACAGACAACAAACACAGCTGAAGAGGCCCTGTGTGAATCATAGATTGTAGCAGAGGTTTAAGATTTAAAAAAAATGTTTTTTTTTCCTCACTTTATAACTGAATCATTTATGGATAAAAGCCTTCAAATGCAGTCATTGCAGCTTTGAGCAGAACAACCTCTCTTTTTGAATCCAAGATTAGAATTATTTCAGGTTTTTATACCCTACGGCCAGTGCTGGGTACAGCTAAGCAAAACGTTAGCTAAAAAAGAAATAAATTGTATAGGTCTTCTGGAC